AAGGTCTTTGATCACATATGACGTTTTAAATCTTAATATATCAGACATTTATTTTACCGGTCATGATTTTATGCTTACTTCTCGTGTATATGTTTCTTATCTTAGGCATTTCTGGTAGTGGATCGTGTACTTATGTCATGATATTTTAATAGGGACTCAAGTAAGATATATGTAAGTGATTGTTACATATTTTAGATTTGGGCATGAATAGACAATGTTATTACTTTTCATACATACTATTAATAATTTTCATACAGTCTTTTTAGCAGAGCATTATAACTAATATGGATGTTACACAGGCTAGATGACGTGGGAACCAACCATTACATATCATTTGGGAGTTGTTCAAAACTTGAAAAATTCTAACATGTTGTTGCCTGTTGTCATTTTCAAATACAGTGTACTCCCCAGTGATTGTTGTAGTGATGAGAACTAAAAGTAGTATTAGGATTGCCCACGCGCCCACTCATACTATAGGTGGTAGAACAGATGTTTTACCCTCCAACGACCTTGAACAAGACGTTCTACCAAAGTGCTTTGCATGCACAATACAGTACAAGTTTTATGCAGGCGCAGTACATTGATATGCTAACGTGCTTACGCTATAATCTGGTGTGTTGCCGTTGTACGTTTCCCCCACTTTACGACAGCCTTGGAGAAGAACGCTACAGATCAGAGGAGCGCACGAGAAGCGCGTGAAGATCGGAACACTACACGCTAACAACAACGTTCTTTTCCTTGTCGCCTTTCCTGCTTGCGTCCGTTCAGTCATGGTGGAGGGCACAGCCAACATAACTTTCTCTCTTTACATCCTTCAGCTTTCAAACACTTCATTGTACACCAGGGCTCGAAAAAAATTATGAATTAGACTCACTAATATGAAAATGTTGCCAAACATATTTAGAGGAAAATCCACTGACTTTGGTGGTTCCAGATCAAGCTGTTCAGACATTATACAACAAGAAAGTGGGCATGGGCCTCAAAACACTGCCCCCCTCCCTATAATGAGTGTTACCATGGTAACCTGTTGTCAGTTCAGAAGGAAACAACTTTTGTAAATGAAAGACAGGTTTCCTTGGCACATGAAAACAGCTTGGAATTTAGGTTTTTTAATTCTATATCCTAGCTATGAATGTTTCTTTTACCTACAAGGCATTGGTTGCAATTCTTCTAAAATGATATCAATGGTTTAGTCTTAGGGTCACTGTGGTCCACCCCATGAATAACCCAAAGTTCTTTTCTAATATAATGTATACCAAAACCTAAGCCATGCCTGTGTAAAAAATTAACTAATTCCATCTGCCCTTTAAGCAGCCATCGATCGCTAAAAACGCCCAAAAAAGGCTTTTTCTCAATTTTGGAATTTCACAAAAACAGATCATCTTTAAACGTCAGCTATACAGCTCACCACAATAACGTTTTGAGCAAGACTTTAGATATTTTCTTTACTAGGATATGCATAATAATATATGTTAGAGGCAATAAAATATCTGTTAATTTGTGTGAGATATAGAAGGTGAAAGATGGTCTATTTTGAGCAAGACTAATGCCTTCACTTGGTGAAAATCCGCCATCATAAAAAATGCCGTTGCCATGGCAACAAGTAACCACTGAACCGAAACTTGCCCACTTTTGTAATTTTTGACCAAGCCTCTACCACGACACAAAATTTTAGAAAATTTGATTTTTTTTAGTTTGGCCACCTTATGCTTGGTTTTTACAGACAACTGCTCTTAATGTAGACATGTATTTGACGAGATACGTGTGTGTGTAGATCTGTTTGCTAAAGAGATAAAAGAGTAACTTTAGGCACGAAACAGGGCGTCCCCTATGACATTTAT